AGGCAAAAACAGGGAGAAAGGAAGATCCATTGGTTAGCTTGGAAGAAGCTTTGTAAGCCGAAGAATGAAGGGGGATTGGGGTTTCGAGATTCTAAATTGTTCAACTAGGCTTTGCTCGGTAAACAATCTTGGAGATTGATGATGAAGCCGGATAGTCACCTTGGCAAACTTCTAAAAAGTCGGTATTTCCCTAACTCTTCCTTTATGGAGGCAAGCTTGGGTTAAATCCTAGCTACACTTGGAGAGGCATTTGTGAAGCAAGATGGGTGATTCGAAGAGGTATGAGATGGTGTGTTGGTAATGGTGAATCAATTAGAGTATGGTCGGACCCTTGGATTCCGAATACTCAATCGCGTAAAATAATTTCGCCTCGATTAGAGGGTATAAAGATTTAAAGGTAAGTGACCTAATTGATCTTGTCAATTACTGTTGGAATTCAGACTTGGTTTCTCAATTATTTCTCCCATTTGATAGGATAGAATTTTAAGTATCCCGATTAGCTGTAGACTTCCTAAAGACACTATATGCTGGGATTTGAAGAAGTCAGGGGAATACTCAGTCAAGTCAGCTTACAAGGCTATATTTGGGGATGATTGGTGTAGAGAGGAAAACGCTCCGTCGTTTGGTTGGCAGCTTTGGAAGAGAATTTGGCAGCTGCAGGTTCTTCCTTGTGTTAAAATCTTTGCGTGGTGTGCTTGTCACAATGCTCTTCCCACTTGGGGTGGAATTAATTAGAGAGTCTCGTCCTATGATCCTACTTGTTCGATTTGTGGCAGAGAGGAGGAAACCACAATTCACGCGCTAAAGAATTTGCAAATTAGCGGTTGGAATTTGAAAATGCAGTAGCTATGAGTTTGTTGCTAATTTGAACTCACGGGTGGTCTCCGACTGGTGGGAAAGTTGTTTTGGTGAACTTGATGATGTGGAGATTGCAAATGTAATTATGCTAACTTGGGCAATTTGGAGCGCATGGAATAAATTTGTGATGTAGAATGTGGTTCGGAGCCTAATCAAGTCGTAAGCTATGCTATGAGGACTTGCAGTGAGGTTAAGGAGGAGGTGCAGAAGGCGATTACAGGGATGGGGGGGGCTGGCTTAACTTTCCCTGTGGTCTGGTCAAGGCCTGACGAGGGCTGGGGAAAATTGAATGTTGATGCTGGTGTTATAGGGGAGCTGGGGACTGGGTTAGGAGCTGTGTTGCGTGACTACAGTGGCTCGGTGCAAGGGTGTTCTGTGGTACAAGGAGCTGAGCGATAGGAGACAAATATTGCAGAAGATATGGCGATTTTTTGGGGCATGAGATTTGCGTATGAGCTGGGTTGGAGGAAATTAATTGTTGAAGGAGATTGTCTTGTTGTCATTCAAGCCTTAAGAAACAATTATGTAGGAGCAAGTTCTTTTCATTTAGTCTTAGAGGATATTGTAGAGTTGTCTTTAAAGTTTGATAGTGTTAAATTGTAACACCCTAGAAATTCCTTTCCTTTAAACTACCTGTATTGCCCTTTTTAAAATACGAAATAGGAAAATCTAAAACATTACCGCCACCGTGAAAATGACTAAAGCAAATATCAAAGACACACAGCGGAAGACTACTTTTTAAAAACCATTTAAAACAAGTCAACTTTTAAAAAGTCAAACGAAATCAAACTAAGTCAAACAAAGTCAACCTACAACTTGGAACTATTGTAGGCCCTTAAAACCAAACCAATATTTAAAACCTTTCATGTTAGTCTCATCAACACAATAAATATAATAGATAATAATCAAACAATTAAACACATCACATTCCTATAGGAACTAAGCATGATTCACTCTTCACTCATCCCCATCATGCAAATGCTTCGTCACTTGAAAAGCTCCTCTCTACTTGCCCCCACTACTCCCCATTAGGAGTGGGTCGTCCTGGGGCCAAGGTAAAGACAAGGCCAAACAAACATGCAAACACACAATCAGCAATGCTGAGTACATAAGCGTAATAAAATACACTAACATGCTTTTATCCTATCAACACACAACTTACCTTGTTGCACTTGTTCACAAGCATACAAGACACCCAACACCTAACTAGACAAATACTAATGTTCATTTAATTTGATTACGCATCGAACAGGTTTCCAACCAACTACCTGCCTCAATAAATTGAACACCCAACACCTAACTAGACAAATACTAATGTTCATTTAATTTGATTACGCATCGAACGGGTTTCCAACCAACTACCTGCCTCAATAAATTGAGGTAAACTACTTCAGAAGGTAACCGGGTAGGCAAATGTCACATGAAGTGACTGGACGTCTTGCGCATAATAAATAATAAAAAGGAAAATACAGCGTCCTATACTCCCAGTAGAGGTTATGGTCAAATATAAAGTCGCATAACTCCCCCCATATGTTCATACTCAAGGTATATACGTTCTAAGAGTTTTGGTGCGTAGTCTCTTTCACTTTACGTTATTTACATATTATTAAACTTGGTGATATCTCAAACACAACACAACCAAACATTATAGTTCATTCAAGCAATCAAACATACCAAATTTAATTATTGAATAATTAGTGACCACATAAATTTAATGTTGAACCCTTTTAAACTACCTCGGTGTTAATAACACCTTAAGTGCATAAAGCACTGCAAATCCTATCCCTCGGTGTTAGAAACACCTTAAGTGCATAATAAGCACCGCAATATAATTTATTCTTGTGTACTAAGACACTTAAATAGCTCCTTCCTCGTGCTTATAGCATCAATAAAAATTATATGAACCATAATAAAATTCCCTTTTTATATTCCAAACCAAATTAAACATTTAGTTTAATTAAACATGCTCTCTATCATGCCAATAATAAAAGTGTGGTTCATAACTAACATGCCTATATAATTAATTCCAATCACCAATTCACCATAAACAATTCATACATCACAAATCATTCACCAACATCAATCCAATCAACACATTCCATCCAACGCCTATCATGATACTACTTGGAATTAATTAAACAAAACCTAGCATGTTTCTATACACTTAAGCATTACCAAGTACGCGAATGTACTTTGAATATAATCTCAAAATTGTCACGACTAAATAAAATCACCCACTTGGAAGTCTTTTACAAACCAAAATTTTAAAGAAGTATTAATACCTCTTTCACACAAATTTCCAGCAATATATACTCTCTTTAAATTACTCATAAACCCTCTAAAATAATCTGAAATTTTATTTAAAACCCTTACTTTTATTCCCAATTAATGGGTAATTAATAATCCTTTCAAGAAACATAATTATAACTTATATATAATAAAAATTCCAGCATTATTAAAACTTATAAAATTGCTGTAATTTAGTTTAAAAATATTAATTTTAATAGTTTTAATTAACCACAATCAAATTCCATCAATAAACATTAATTTAGTTACTTAGGGTTTTCAATTTGGGACTTTGATTAAAAACTAAATCTGAAAATTATATTAAAACATTAATCCTTCGTTAAAAATCAAAAACTGCTCGAAAACCATATTTAGAGGCTGAATTTGGCCACGAGAGAGTGGTGCTCACTACCAAAGGTTGGTTTACACACGAAAAACACTAGTTTTTTTTTTTTTTTTTTTTTTTTTTTTTTTTTTTTGTAAAAATCGGACGAGTTAGAATCTAAACGTGATTAAAAATAAAGGGGAAGGGGAAAAATTAAGGAGAAAAGGAAATAAGAGGAGAGAGAGAATTTACCTTTGGGTGCACTCCACCTTAGGCATATGATGGGTATTTATACCCTCTCTCATAACCTCCTACTTACTACCCTTAATAATCCCTTTTTCTACTCAAACTAGGATTCCTAATCAAACTAGGATTTTGACTTTCTTTAAAACTTTGACTTTAAAAATAATCTTTTATAAAATAATATGCCCCAATATTCCCAAATCATAAATTAAAATATTTTCAAGATTATTAAATAATTAAAAATACACTTTTAATAAAAATCATTCTTTTTAAATTAATAAAAACCCTAAATAATTCATTTTGAATTATTTAAATACTTTTAAGAAAATACTTATTTAAATTAAAATACGTATAAAAATACGGGGTATTACGTAAATGGTTTTTTGTTAAGCGTGATGGGAATAGAGTGGCACACGAATTGGCACACTTCCAACATTAGAAAATTGGTCAAAGAGTGTGGAATAATGTAATCCCACCCCGTATTCTTGATGTAGCTTGCTCTGATTCAATGAACTAGTCCCTTTGGTGGGTTTTTTCAAAAAAAAAATAAACCTTATTTTTAAAAAAAAATCAACTAAAAACCTTTCTAAAATTTATAGAGTAAAAAAAAAAATTATATATATTAATTGCAGAGTTTTGTATTTTTTATTTTTAACTTTATGTAATTGATAGAACATGATTTATTTAATATAAAAATTTCAAATATAAAACCCTACCTGTCTCCTCTCTATTTTTTTTTCTAGGGTTCTTCAAAAACAGTGTTTCATAGGCCGAAAATAGTCAAATTTCTCTGGAAATTTGGCTAATTCTAACCCTTTCCCTTTAGTTTCTTTGTGTTATTGTTATGGAATTCAATAAATCTACACTATTTGAAGCTAGTAAGTACCCCTATAGTAGGTTCGAGTGTAGTAAGTGCCCCTTTGGTGGGCTTTGTTCTAGTTTTGTTTTTGTTTTTGTTTTTGTTTTTTGAGTTTAGTATGGTACAAGTTGGTTCATGGGTAAAAAATTGTGCGGGATTGAGAAAAAGGTTAATCCTTCGATTACAATCAAATGAATCAGAAGAAAATTTTCTTTACGACTACAACAGATCGATAGACCCCCTCGTCGAAAAAAGACTGTAAATCACAACGATATGAAAGAGGGTATGAAGAACGTACGATTTGCAATAACGATAGTAGCTCTGCTGAAAGGATGTTTTTATTTGATTCAATTGTCATGTATTTATTATTTAAATCTCTTTGTAGATGTCGTATTACTTTTTATTTATGAATTACTCTTTTATTTAAAAAAAAAAAATTATATAGAACATGATTTACTTCATGTTAAAATGGTAATAAGTGTGTCGTTATTCCCAAATAAAGGGGGTAATTTAAAAAAGCCAATTAGAAAAATTGAAAATCGGTAACTAGCACCGAAGAAACACCCTAAAACCCTAACTACTAGAACCTTCGTAACCCCCTCTTTCTCTCTCCTCGAGCGTAGCCTTAACCTACATGCAGGATTGTAAGAGGAACAACAAGAGCAGAGGAGAAGCCGCACCTCCCTTTTCTACTCTCTTCACCTCTTTCAAGCCTCGTCAAGTTATTCTAAATTCAATGTCTAACATTAAGCTCGATCACAAAAATGGCGCTAAATCCCTGATTTCACTTACTCCTGAACAGAGGAAACTTCTACTTCAATCTATTTGTCAATTTTTAGAACTTAATGGCTTCTCCAAATCTCTTAAGAAGTTCCACAAAGAGGCTGATATTGAGGTTTGGTTAAATTTTTGAAGCTTAATTTGAAATGGGGTTTGTTCAAATTTTTGTCTTTAATTTGCAAATTTGATTTTGGGGGATATTTGGAGCTTAATTTGTAGTGGGGTTTGTTCAGTTTTTTGTCTTTGGTTTGCAAATTTGATTGTTGAGTTTATTTTTGAGCTTAATTTGTAATGAGGTTTGTTCAGAATTTTGTCTTGAATTTGCAAAATTGATTTTGGGTTTTTGAAAAGCTTAATTTGTAATGGGGGTTGCTCAGTTTTTTGTCCCTAATTTGTGACTTCGAATTTGCAGAAGGAGAGTTGGAAGGGTTGTTTGCTCAATTTGGAAGAGATGTGTTACCAGTTTTTAAAGTTGAGGTAGGTTGAAAGTTACTTATCAATGTGAAATATTGCTAAGGTTTTAAAGTTGTTGCTCATTTCATGTATCATGATTTATAAATTGATTAATGTTGTCCTAGATTGCTGATGCTGGAATCGTATCGAAATGTCATTGGTTGCTATTGTCTTTTGGAAAATAATTGGGGGTGTTAAGGTGTTTAGTTGTAGTAGCTTTGTTTGTGTGTTCTGTTCTGTTTTACAGGAAAGATCACAAGAAAAAGTTTGTTATGTGTATTACAAGTCAAATTTCTTGTTTTGGCTGGTAAATTTATGTGCCTTTTGGTGTGGCCTTGTATGATCAATGGTCATCGTTGGATTTCGATAGCCTTTTGGATAAAATATGTTTCCTGCCCTTCTCACCTTCAAGGGTCTGTGTCTCCTGCTCTTGTTATTGTGGTTGTTTAGGCAGTTTGCTTGGTCAAGATTTTGTGTTTTCTGGTCTTGTTAACATGTTCGTTTAGTTAGTTTACTTGGTTCAAGAGTCTGTGTCCTAATGCTACTTGTGATCCGTTGTGTGCAGGGATGATGCTAAAGTTAGTGATTGTGTCACCAATGAAAAAGCTACTGACCAAAAGGATGGAAGTTTAAATGGTGTCGCATCTTTGGAAAAGGAAAATGGAGGTGATGAAGGCCATGTTGATGATGTTGGTGTAAAACAAAAGAAGAAAAAGAAAAGCAAAAGTGCTAGTGATTCTTCTGCTCAAATCGCCGAGGAAACTCACCCAAAACCCTTAGAAAATCCTGAAGACCTTTCTTTGAGTGTACCAAATGAATTTGAAAAGAAATCCAAGGACAAGAAGAAGAAGAAGCGTAAGGATGAATCTCAGGAGGAAAAGCAAGAGGACAAAGAAACATTAGAAAATTCTGATGTTACACACGAAGAGAAGAAAGAGAAGTCTAAAAATAAGAATAAGAAAGAAGATACTTTGATTCCCAATGGTTCATCTGTAGAGACTGCAGAGGTTGATAAAGAGAAAAAAAGTTCAAAAAAGAGAAAGAAGTCCTCAGCTGATGAAATTGAGACTGACTGTACTGAAAAGGCAGCACTTGATGACTCTAAGCGTAGGAAGATAGAGAATCTAGATCAATCAAATGGAACCATTCCTCCTAAAACACCTAATGGATCTGCCAATGGAGTCTTGGAAAACGGTGAAAAAGAATTGCATAAAAAGGATAAAACAAGGCAGCTCAATGGTTCTGCTGAGGTATGCATTCGCGACATAGTGCTTTCTTTGGCATTTGTCCTAAATCCTAATTCTTGATCTTAATTATTATATGATAAATATGTCTAATACATGTGAGCCTGACTGCTTGACCTAAGGAAACTTGGCAGCTTAACATTCTTGTTATACCGTGCTATATTTCTCTTGGAAATGCTTAGAATTGCAAGCTAGCATTTTTATGAGTTAAACTACAATATAAAGTGTATGCTGTGTGATATAGCAAATGTATGACACTACGTCATTTTTGTAACATTTCTCAAATTACCAAATTCCAGTTAGAAAATAGTTTATTATGGGAATGACATGGTGTAATTAATAGATCATGTCCAACACCATTTCCAAACAGAAACAAAACACATCTTGACATGACAAAAGGCTCATAGATTGCGGTATTGCCTGCTTCCTGTTCTCTTTTCTCCTATTAGGGAAAGTAGTCCCTTGAGAATTTGTGAAATTATATCTTTGATCTCTTGCCTAGAATAAGATACAAATATAAAAACTAGGGAAAGGGCAATATGAGGAATGATCTTAATGTTATCAGGATTAGAGCTGAGAGGTGTGACTAAAGAATAACAGCTAGTATTAGGGGAAACTCACATCTGTGATTGTGACTTGGTGGAAGATGCTTGATGTACTTGACTATGTTGCAGGGTGGTCTCAATGTTGTTTATATATATATTTGTTCATGACTGGGTTGGAAGAGTTCTCCAATTTAATTCAATCAAATAGTATGGAATTGATGTCGATTACTTTCCTTTCCATGTGTAGCTCACCTGTGTCTTAGGTTCCTACTCCCTATCTTTTTGAGAATATTATTTGTGTTCCATGGTTTGAGGAAAAAAGTCTTTGGATTGTGTAGCTAATTAATTGATTGTTGAAATCTCTTTTTTATGAGAATGCTACTGAGGGTGTGGAACTTAGAGGAGTTTGTTCAGATATGAGACACTACTCAGAGTAATTATTAGATTGGTGAAGCCTTGGGTGCAGTACATCACTAAAGACTTGAGACATCCCTACAATAGGTATTATAAAGCTACATATTGTGCTTGCAAAGGAAATGCTTGCATAATAAGATACCAGAAGTGACTAAATCATGTTTCCCTTGATTCCATCGTTCTAATGGAAAAGCACTTAAGAGATATATGAACTATTACTCTCTTTTTGCGGTTCACTGATTTTTGTATATGATGTGTTTTATTTTGAAGTATTTGCTTAAAAATTTATTTATTTTTCTTCATTGGGGCAGTGTCTGTCTATATAAGCTGGCAATGGTGGTCGGACATGACCAGTGGTGAGGCAAAGACAAGTTTTGGAGGGTGATGTATAAGATGGATTGCAACTTGCAAGGAGAGGGGGGAGGGGGAAAGGGGAAAGGGAGAAGGGAATTATTATTGTTTTATTTATTTATATATTATTATTATTATGATTTTCTCCCTTTGTCCTTTTAATTCACATGACGAGCTGTCTATTAATTTTTCTATTAGATGTCATAATTTGATCATTTCCTGAGTTGGTTTGATGGCGATGGTTCAAGTTTCATATGGTTGTAGGCTCAAGCATCAACATACTCTTCTTTTATCTTGTAATCTATTTGAACATGTGTGCATCTTATGTGGCACCTAAAAGTGGAAGGTGGACCATTGATAGTTTGAAGGAGCCACATGATTGACTGACCAAGCGACAATGCCTTTCAATATAAAGTACTTGCTCTGTTTCTAAGTTGATGCTATGTTTCTCTTTCACTCTTGTCCATACATTACTTTGACCTTGAAATCATGAATATCTTTTAAGGAATTATATGACAATTTATATTTTGATCAACAACAACAACAATTCCCTTAGTCCCTTAATGATTTGGGGGCGGCTAACATGAATTGCAAAAGGAACCGTCCGAAAAGGAAAAAGAGCATAACAAGATAATCGGTTGAGTTAAAGTTTGAGAAAAAAGTGTGTAAAGTAAGAAACAGAAAGAGTGTAAATAAAATTTATGAGAGTTTTAAAGAGTGGTAAATGAATAAAACGGAGAGAAAAACCTGTGAGTTCAAAAGATATTGGGGTTAGGCTGTGTTGGAATGAAAAGAAGTTACTGAATAGTTCTTGATTTTGCCATTCTAATAGGTTTAAATTATATTGGGGCTAGGCTGCTTATATTTTGAATCTCTTAGACTTCATCTCAACTAGACTTATGCTGGGTGTTGTTTATTTGAACTTACCTTTCACCAGGATTTTTATTTGTATTGGATCCCCTCCCCCCCTCAGTCCTATATATAATTATATATCATCCGTTCATCACTTGATCTGTGCACAGAAGAATTGATATGCATGTGCTGTAATTCTACTCCCCATCAAATGTTGTATGATTGAACCTAAAACTGATGGTTTAAGCTTACTTTTGCAGCCAAGAACTTCTGCAAATGCATTCCGGAGGGTCAAAGAGGAGGAGGTGGAATTTGTAGATGAAAGGCTTCAAGATAATTCTTATTGGGCAAAGGTCTGGTGATTCAGAATTATTCTTTTAATCTTATTCTTTTTCTCTCTTTTTAATTTGGACCCTTTAGAGTATGTGATTCTTACAAAGTATCTGCAGTGTGTCTAAACACCTTCCCCATGTTGTTTACAGGATGGTGCAGATAGTGGCTACGGTGCCAAAGCACAAGAGGTTTTGGGGCAGGTTAGAGGAAGGTAAATCCCTACTCTGCTTTTCTATTTACATTGGAATGCTCTATTTACCTCGCAGGCTCATACTATCAAGGATTATATGCATTATGCTGGTGTCATATTTCAAGTTTCAACTGCTATAAAAATTATAATGAATGATAGTTAAGAGTGCCACTTCTCCCCTATCCTCTTTAGTTCTGTTGCTTTTTAATTATGAGAATATTGATTTGTGAATGCCCGTATTTTCCATTCAAGCTAAGTCATTGAGTATCGACTTGTTTGAGAAATAACTCCAATACCTTTTCTGTTTATGTATCCTGGACTCCTATTTCCTTGAGTGACAATTTTATTCGCAACGTATTTACATATTTACTCCCTTGCTGGAGTTTTGTGAATTGGTTTGCAACCAAACAGTTTTAGGGTGCATTCTCTTCACCTGAACTTCTCAGAACTTTAGACCTGATTTATACCTTGTTTAAACCTGATTAGACCTTATGCATTGGTGACTTCAAGAATTTTGAACAGTATGATTATGTTTTACCATTTATAATGATTTTTTTCCCCTAAATTCTTGATAGGGATTTTCGCCATGAGAAAACCAAGAAAAAACGTGGAAGCTACAGAGGAGGGCACATTGATCTGCAATCTCATTCAGTTAAGTTCAATTATGATGATGAAGAATGACACTCGCCTCAATGTTCTTGAATGTGGACTACATCTGGGCGAATTTTTGGTCGAACGTTTACGTATTATTATTCTTCATATTTTTTTATAACAATTAAGGATTATTTGTTGGTTGTATTTGGTTATTGGCATGATATAATTGATATATATCTGTTTCCTAATTCTTATATCTCTCATTTTTGTTTTCCTACATCTTCATATTGATCTCGTCAAATGGACTTGTGCTACTTATCCTATTCGAATCACCCACTGGGCACTGGTCACTGCAATTCAAACTTTATACAGAATTGAATGGCTCAATTTGTCTAATAGCAAATTTGGGGGTAATACTTAGTCCAGCACCGTGATGTGGCTACTAATCCGTGCATAAGTTATAAAAAAAAAAAAAAAGTACCAGAACTCTTATCAGTAGGATAAGTTTATAAAATTTATCACATTTATTATATTGTCTACTTTGTTTAGATAGTCAGTTTGATTCATGTCATTAGTTATATTTTATATTGTCGTTTAGTAGTATTAAAATACTGTCATTCCGTGTCAAGTTATTGTCAGTAATAACCAGAACTTTAATATTGTCATTAAGTTTAACTATATTGTCATATTACTTAGGATTGTCGATTTGGTATCAGAGCCATACTGTTATTAGTAAGATATTAATTACGTAAAACTGAAGAATTCTAGACCATATATTGAGTGTAAGAAACCAGAGTTTAAGCACTACTATCACATTCTTGAAAATAGTAGTAATTTTAGTTCAGTCCTTAATTATTACCTCCATTACATATTAGTTGCAATTTTGGGGTATTATTTGTGAGACATAAAATATTTCAAATTTGCAACTAATATGTAACGGAGGTAGTATATTGTAGATCAAATTGGTGAACTTAAAGTAGAAGTTGATAGCTATATTGTCGTTGTATGAATATTGAAAATAAGTTGTTAGCAACAACTTCTGATATTAATAAAAATTTAAGCGAGCTAAGAGAACAAGTTAATTAAGTACAACTTGCTCAAACAAACGAAGTTAGACATCAGTTTAACAAAGAAGTATCACCTAATAAGGAAAAGATTGTTCCTTATAAATATAAATATCCTTTTCAAAATTTAGATAAAAATAAGAAGTTTTTTGTAACACTCTCTAAAAGAACCACTAGTGAAAAGGAAAAGAACAAAGAAACTAAAGATGAGCCATCATCTTCAGGTGAAAACGATTGAAGAATTACAAATTTTATTTGATACAAAAGAAGACCCTAATAGACTAAATGAGATCATGAAAATTATTTCGTAAAAGGGGTTGTTTTCGATAATGAAATAGAGGAAGATAATTATGTCACTTTAAAAGAACATTTATATCAACAAATGGGATTAATAAAGCTAGATGATTTAGCCTTTTTACCTATTGAAGCTGTTCATAGAACACCCAGTCCTAATACAACTAATGGAATTAGCGAAAATACGCCGTGGCGGAGGTCACTTCGTCACTATAGAGTGAAATTGAAAATTAACTTAAGTCTATGTGAGCTAATTGGAGCATAGACATTGCATTTTAGTTTATTTAAACCTAGACGGGTCTAAAAGTGATAGTTGAGGTTCTAGAAATAAGAACTTGACTTAGCAAACAAAAGATAAATAAACTTGGAATTACAAGAAGCCAAGGGCATAACAACCCTTATCGGCAAATCCCAAACAAATTCAAGCCAAACTAAGTTAAGAGAAACCATGTAAACAATTCAAACAAGCCAAACCAAACCAAAACATTCAAAAGTCCAACTTAAGGTGGCCTAAGGCCCACTCAAACCCGGCCCAACGGCACAGAACCCAAGATCACTCTGCATCTGAAACAACCACAAAAATTCCACAATCAGTAGAGAGCAACTAGTAGTTCTCCCTCAAATCAGAAATAAATTTAGAAATTAAATTACAAGTAAGAAATCACTTAAACTTAACCATACAAATCATGAAATAAACTTTGAAAACAAAATCGAATAAACCAAACTAAAGCAAAACTTCATATAACTTCGAAAATATATACATATTTCATATAAATTCATAATCCGTTCAAAATATCATTCAAACAGCAGAATTGGTATGGAGGGAACGCTAATGGCCTTACAATCCACTTCCTAAGGTTTGTTAGGTCTCACCCCCGGTCAACTCACAGAAGATCGTGTCTAAGATTGGCCAACTCCCAGTTATGAGTATAAGCCTATAAGGTCTTACACACCCCCCAGACGACAACAATTACCCCAGGTTGAGCTACCTAAGACTCGTAGCTAGGGGTGAAAGTTCAGTGTTTGGTTTGAATTTTGGTCCTAAACGAATCCAAACCGAATTAATTCGGTTTTGAATATTCCAAACCGAATTCATATTCAATCCAATCCAGTCCAAACCGATTTAATTCAGTTTTGGATATTTAATCCAAACCAACCCAAAATTTTACTGGGCCTGATTTTTAGACATATCGTTTTGGGCCTAAATTTTGGGCCTTATTTTCAGAACAAAAGTTACAATTTAAAATAAAAGACTAAACATCTTAAGTCCCAAATTTGTGAAGTCCATAATAAAAGTCTTCACCACAAATGTTGGCCCAATAAAAGCCTAAATTACAGATTTACATCCATAAAAAATTAAAGTTCTAAAATACAATAAAAGCAACACACTTCAGCATTGAAAAAAACCCAACAATTCAACACTTCAGCAGCAAGGCATCATCAATCGATATCTATCATCTCCGGATTAATTTCACCAACATTTTGTTGACATTCTGATTCAAAGATAAAAAACATACAAGTATTTGCATGTCAACAGAGAGTCACAGAGGAAGAGCAGATACATTAGAAAATCAAAACAACCTAAATACAACTTAAACCCAGAAACTAAATCAATCCATGAAACTTGACACCAACATAGCATCAATGCAAAGAAGCAGAACAACATCAATACATTAAACCCAGAGACTAAACAAACCAAGACAGTTGACACTATTTGTATATCCACACCAACACAGCAGCAGAACAACAATATCACAACATATCAAAATAAAACCTAGAAAATTGAAAGATCAGTAGATCACGCAAAAAAATGCCCAAAAAATAACAAAATAAACAGAATAAAAACCATTAACTTGCGAAATATGAGAAAAAACGATTAAACCCATAAAACCCCACGATTCTTCTTCGATAATATGATTTAAAAAAAAAAACATAAGTTAAAACGAAAGGGAAGAAGCACAATCAACAAATCGAGTTTATATTCACCCAAAAAAAAAAAAATCAAAATTATTCAACAATAAAATTAAAAACAAATTAAAACAACCGAAAATCAAAGAGTCTTACGTTCTAGAGGAAAGACGTTGGCCGGTGAGGGTGGAGCGGAGGAGAGGTGGTCGGTGATTAGGGGATGAGCGCCTAAGCGGTGGTCGGTGGTCACAAGGGAAGTGAGAAAGGGTAAAGAGGAAAAAGGTATTAGGGTTGCCGCAAGTGAAAAAGAGTGAGAAACGGAAAAGTGATTTAGGGTTTTGGTTTATATGTGAAGGGGAAATAGGCTAGGCTATTTGGGCTGAACATATTTTGGTTTGGATTTTCGGTTTTCGGAAGCCCCAAACCAAAACCGAATCGAAATCCATATATTTGTAAAAACTCAAACCGATCCAAATCGAAAATCGAAAAAAATCGAACCAAATTGTTAATTCGGTTCGAGTTGGTTTAGTTTTCGGTTATAATCCTTATTACTTTCATCCATGCCGTCTATCCTTAAGTCGAGGTGAAAAAATGAAAAATTTCCCAGACTTTCCTCTTCCTTTTTGACATTTCCGAGAGAACGATCAAAGCCATGAGAGAGATTTCCTGATAGTAGGTTTGTAAATCAAAGCTCCATTACCTTTTCGACATTTCCCAGACTTTTTTACATTTACATTAACAAAGAACTCATCAAACACACATATTGTAAATTTGTAACCCTCACAGTGTCGCAAATAAGCGATCACTCCACCATTTTCAATTAATTTGAAATACAAAACACATCACAAACATTTCATTTCATCCAGATTAAGGCTGAAAAATGCGTTGAAAAATGCGTTAACTACACAATATCGTATTACACCAGTTGCATATTGCACTAAATTCCCCAGCAACCAATTTGATGTATGCGTTTTATACCATGTTTTACCCCGGTTTATAGCGTATATTTGCATGGTTTTGGGCTCTACGGAGCTATTTCTCGCTAAAAATCACTTTTTTAGTGTGTTCGATCTGTTTTATTGAGTTCATAGGAATACAGAGGTTTCTTTGATGTTTTGGACTTGTTTTGGATGATTATAGAAGAATTGTTGAGTGAAGAATGAAGATTTCCCCAATGCCCTATCGGGCATCCCATGCCCTAGCTGCTAGGGCGAAGAAAGGAAGAGCTAACTACGAAGAATAGTCATTAGATCCCACGTGCCCTATCGGGCATGTCATTCCTTGGCAAATCGGGCGGAAGAAAAATCAAGGAAGAAGTTAGTTTTACCTTGTCCGCCCAATCGGGCAGGCTTCACCGGGGCAGACTGGGCACTGCTGGTTGAAAACCGTCTTTAATTAATTACGGATTTTTATCTTCTTAGGGGTATAAATACCCCTTGTAATCACACTCAGAAATCATCTTTTATTATTCCCTAGTATTAGACTACTCTAAACCCAAGTTTTTCTCTCTTTTACGTAGTTTATTATTGTTTTTATTATGCTCATGTAGATTATTATTCTAGGGTTAGGTTAAACCCTAGACATGATTAATACTTGATTTATTCTGTTAAATTCTCAATTAATTATTTATATTGTTCATGCTTAATTGATTATGCTAATGCCAATACTAGATTAGGGATAATTGGTATTGTTATTATTCCATTGTCTTGATTGCAACAGGAGTTGGGTTTTGACGGATTTGAATAGATCAATTAAGGGTATGAAATTCTCCACGAAAGTAGGTAGAATGGATTGTTAGGAAGTTAGGGTGCCGGATTTATTGTCTTTAATTTACATGATTCCATAGAAGTAGGTTTGATTGTTAATTAGGGAAGCCATTGACAACTCGGGAGAGATCTTTGGTATTGTATAGAGCGTACCTATCCTTGTGAACATATAATTAATTGATTGGGGTAGGAATTTGTCTTGTATTGATTATGCTAGTGGTGATACTTAATTCTAGATGTTTTTATTATTTGAATTTCTTGCTTTAGTAGTATAATATTTTCAACCTTATTTAGATTGACTCGACTAGTTATAATTCATAGCAACCCAATATTGATACTACCTTCTCTGTGGGATCGACCCTGACTTACCCTACTACATAATTAGGAGGTCTAGTTAGGTTTTTATTATTTTTGTTAGGTGTGCGACAACCTATCAAATTTTGGTGCCGTTGACGGGGAAGGTGACAGATTGATTTGGGTTGCTTAGAATTAATTAGCTTGGGTTTGTAATTATTTTTTTATTTTTTATTTTATTTTATTTTTGTTTTATTTGTCGCTTGTTCATATTGTCGTTTTATCATGGATTGGAATCAATACAATGGTGAGTATTCTTATAATTATCATTAAGACAATGGTTATAATGCTTGGGATTATCATGTTTCCGATTTTGATGCCTCTTATCAAAATTCCCAAAATTTTTACAAGAACTTTTATGATTTTTCCCATGATAGTCGATCTTATGAGAATTACTATGACCCCTCTCCTCAATATGATTCTCGAAATCACTCACAAGAACCCAATTTCTCTCTTGAACCTACTATTAAAGATTTTTTGGAGGTTTGTGATAGATCTTCTAAGAGCTGTGAAGAATTGGAGAATTCACATCATAAGTTTTATGAGTATCAATGTAATAACCCGTATTCTCCATTTGATTTTCAATTTTCTTGTGAGCCCCAACCATCTAAATCAAAATTAGAACTTCTTGTTAAAGAAAATGCTAAAATATCCAAGTACATTGAAATTCAATCATCTGAGTTAAGATTTATTTTTGCAAAATTCATTGACGATGTTAATTCTAGTTTGGTGCAACTAACTGACCAATCAGAGAATTTACAAGCCCAATTGAATTCTATTCAACAAGCTCTTGATTGTCAATTGATGTATGATGATGATGATGGCCTAAGGTATGATGAGAATGAAATCCGAGTAGAGGGGAGTAATGATGTAAACTGTGAGAATTTGAGGAAAGTTGTGGATGAAATTTGTGAATTTGATGATGAGGAGCCGAATTTGAGGATTTTAAGGTTGAGCGAGTAGATATTAGTGAGTCTTTATCCAAGACTATTGAGCCTCATATTCCCTTCTCTAGAAAGCTTGACCTTCTTCCTTGTTCTTCCCCTTTACATCTCCCATCTTTCGTCCTTTCACCTCCATCAAACCATGATAATTTTGGGAACAAGGATTCTCATTTGGATTTAATTAAAGTAAATATTACTTTCGTTTTTCCAAGTGAGTCTAGCAAGGTTGTAAATAATTTTTCTTTTTCTTTTGAGTCTTGTTTTTCTTTTTGTCTCTTTAGCAGAGTCTTTAGTATTCAGTATATCCTTTCTCTAATGTTTTTCTATGTAATATTTTGTGAAATGCATGCAAATACATTTGACAAGCTTCTAAGGGCTTTGATGAGTTATCTCAAGAAGCGACCCAAGTTTTGATCTAAAAAGGCTGATTTAAAAGGAGAAGAAAGCTGAATTGCATTCGGGTTTGACCGGGCAGAGATCGGCCGTACGGATCAGCGAAACTGCTCAACTTCGAAACGCCATAGCTTTTTCCTTAGTTATTGAATTTTTGCGTGTGACCTATCGTTGGAAAGCTCTTAAATTCTTGCCCAAATTTGTTCCAAAGAGATGCGTTGCAATCCCCGAGGCTTTGGTGACATTATTGTGGTGATGATGATGAGTAGTATTCACCTTGAATACTAGCTTCCCTTTAAGACAATGAGGACATTGTCTGATTTAGCTTGGGGGAAAGTTCTTGTGTACGATGGTATACCTTTCACTCTCTCTTTTTATTTCGGTCTCTCTTTTTATTTTGGTGAGATTAGACTAGTTTTTTTTTTTTTTTTTTTTTTTTTTTATAATTATTATTATTGTTTTTATTGCTTTATAGGTTAGCTTTTATTGCTTTAAAAAAAAAATCTAAAATACGATCCAATATAACGAATGATAAATCATGCTTCCATGTGCTCCATACATGAAAATTGTTTTGATTCTTGGTATATGATGATGAGTATTGTGGATAGGTTAGCCATGATTTGATGTTTGATTGCTTGGATGCCCTAACATGAGTCAATTTTGTCCAACTATTGTGGATTTGGTGCTTGACTAGTTGATTTGGTGAGGAATGTGTGTTAGTTCCTGGTATGTCAATGAAGTTGAGTATTGGTTTATAACTTTGAGTAATGTTTGTATGATTCATTATTATGCACATTGAGGAGGACGAAGGCATTTGTTCCTTTAGATAACTTTCTGATGATATTAGATACATTTGTTCCCTTCTTGCTACCCATGTTGTTGCTTGTGCCCTTTCTATTGTCCAGCCTATTTAAGCCTCATTGGTTACTAGTCCCAAGCTTGGCTTGGGGGAGCTAATAGTGAGTGAGGTGAGGGAGTTGTAGTGTGCACATAATTTGCACAATGTGGGTGAATAAGAGGAGTAATTTGTTCTTTCGATATTGTGATTGGAAAAATTGAGAAATTGTTGTTCAAAGTTGAAAAAAAATTCCAATGTGAGATAAAAGAAAAAAAAAAAGAGCAAAAAGGAAAAAATTGTTTCAATGTTTAAGTATTCTAATGAAGGTTGTTCTAAAGAAAGAAAATATGAGAAAAATAAAGGAAAAAAAAATCAAGTTCAAAGTTTGTTTGTTCTCTCAAGTTCTATAATGCTATAATTTGTATGAGTGAAATTGTAAGTGTTGAGAATTTTTGATATAATTGGTTGTTTGGTGAATTTTTGTAGTGTTGAGTTGTGTTGGAGATGAGTGGTCATTATTGTTTTTGACCGCGGTTTATTAGGATTGGCTCCCTAAATCATGACTTTACTCTCACATTTTCCCAAATTTATCCTACTTTTTACCTTAGCCTTACATTACAAGTTTTAAAGACCTTCCGACCTTTGTGCATAGAGTTTTATGAATGTGAAATTATTTATTGACCAATGCAAAGAATGATTTGATATATTTCGAGTCGACTACTAGGGTGAGTGCTTGTTTTCTTAAACTAACACACAAGTGTTGTGAATTTGGGAGGGCATTGTTCATATTAAGGGGTTGGATGGAGAGCGATTGGATACATCTTATATCCGCCACATAAAGAGTGAAGAGTGCGTGAGCACTAGTCTTGAATTCCATATACACTTGTGGTTTTCTCTATTTGACAGCTGTTAGGGATGATGAGTAGTTGGATGGATTTGATTGGTTGACTTTGATGCATATTTGTTGGATTTGCCTTGAATTGATTGTGCTTGATTTATATTATTTTTGAGGTGAAGTATGTTTATTTGGTTGTTTGTTGTTTATGATTGTCTTACTTGAGGGCAAGCAAGAATTTAGCTTGG